GTCAGATACTATCTTGAGAGGTGGTATTCTCTTTGAAAGCCTCACAAGTGAAGAACATTGCAATTTTCACTCATCAAAGGTAACAAAAGAACTACACACAGTATCTAATTTAGGACTTCACCAGAGTAAGAGTAAAATTAGCAAAGTTTTACCAAATCTATTCTTTGCCTACCATTTCATGCTACCTGGATTGGCCTCAATCTTAAATCTGGATTCCAAACTTCTTAAATCATAAACCAAAAATAAGAGGGTGTGGTTTGTGGGAGAACAATGGAAGTTAGAGCACCTAGGGAGTAAGGCCAAGTTCAAATAGGGGCCTCAATTATTCAAGAAACTTTACAACAGAAGATGAAAGAGTGTAATAAATATTACATGTGTGATTTTATAGAATGCGAATCAACTTGGCACCTTTACAGAGCTATGAAAAGTATTTAACCCTATCCAGGATTGGCCATATGGTCTTTTAGAGTGTTTCTACAATCCAGGATGACATTCTATTAATTATAAGACTACTACATACTTTCCCAATTGATAGTAGTAGCCTGCTCGCGGCCCTTGGCTCACCGCTTCCTTGAGCCTGTGAAGTTAGCACGCTGACACGTCAAAGTTGCAGGGGGTGGCAGCGAATTTCTGGATAAGTCAATGTCTTATCAAATTCCAATTCCTCTGTATCCAAAGGCGTGCTGTCCATTTCAAGGACGAATCAATCACTTTAGTCTAAGGTTTTCACAAGAGGAGGCAAGGCTCTCTGAGGGCACCACATTTGGCCATATTTCTTTTACAAGATGTTAAGCTAGGCACTAGATTATTCTCAAGTTAGCCTGAAAACTATCAGGATACAAAAAAATGTGTTTCCAACATCTATATTCATCTTGGACTCCTGGATTTTCATTAGGAGTTGAGCTGAACAGTAGAAGCTGCCAAATGATGATCCTGATTACAGCCAACAACCAACTGGTAGCTTAAGTTCAACATACTTCCTGTAACTTTACATTCGAGTCCAAGGATCACATTATTTTGTTATTCCCATGGGCTTTTTATTTCTCTTAAAGTACGATCCTTAACTGAAAGGCATTTCTTTTGTGATTACCTGGTATACATGATGCCGGTGGATATTTTGTGACATCACCGAGATAAACCACATCCTTTCCTTCCCTACACTTAATTTTCAACTAAGTTGGACAGACAGAAGATGGAATATAAATTTATTTCATATTTACAAAACACCTATGCCATTATTTGACCATCCATATGAAATAAAATTTTTGTTTGCTCCATGCAGAGATCAGATTTAATTTCTAAATCAATAGGATACGGTGCAATTCAAATTGTCTTAAAGACAAGAATGTACAGCTGGGTAACTAGTTTTCTAAGTGCCTGTCTGTGAGATTCTCTTGCTTAGTAATGTTTCTATGAATGTGGCAACAGATTCCATTATCCTCACAAAACAGCCAGTTGGTGACAAAGTGATCTGATAGTCAGCATTATTTATCTACTCGTTCCTTGAACAATCATTTATTGCAGCTCTAGTATATTCAAGGGCCCAGGCGAGGAGTGGCCTGTAACATGTGTGTGAAGCAACATATAAAACACAGCTCTATCCTTAGGTAGGTTTTTATTATATCATCCAAAGGAGCATATGATAAGAGTAACAGCAGTGGTATAAAGTGCTAAAGAAGATCAGGAGAGAGTTGACTTCAGGCTGGGGTGAACATGGCTTCATGAAAGAGGTAGCACGTGAACGGAAGTAGGTTCCTTCTTTCTATCTGCAAAAGAGCAAGGACTTTTTCTATAACTGCACATATAATGCATCTATGTGACTGACATCAAGGTGAAAGGTCATCACTTCATAAAAGAGAGAGAATATGAATCTCAGCATTTTGTCAAGAAATAAGGAACAGCTTCCGGCACAGGACGATCCTAGGGAAAGTGTGGCCCAGTAGAGGAAGATTTCATTGTTCCTGTGACATCCTAAATCCAATTTCAGATATTAACAGACTAATGATTTGTTAACAAGACTGCTACCGGTCACTTCCCTTCCCTACTACTTACAATGAATTACCCAGGGGGAATTCATGTGAGGTATTTTAGTGGCTTGGATATAATTTACAAGAAGAACACAGACTCTTCCTCTCAAAATTCAGTTGCATGTTGAAATACATTACTTTCCACTTCTTTAACCAAGTGCCTTGACATTATGTTTGGGGTTGTACTACATCAGCATGTTAATAAAATTTATTTTCACATGCTCCATTTCTTATAATAAATACATAAAGCTGTTTTAACTGGTGAGACCAGTATGGTGAAGTCTGGAAAGTTTAATGTCATGCAGAAGTAAATACTGTCCCAACCATAAACATGGCTCAATATTCAGAAAGTTTTTGTCTTCATATCAGTGTCCTGAAAGAAGTGTCACTCAGTCCCTATAGATACATATTTAAAAGTAAAACCACCAGCTTCTCTTAAGGAGGGCATTTTCTTCTTATGCAGAGATGATGATAATAGTAATATTAGCCTTTACTATGAGCATTTACTAAGTGTCAGGCAGTATAAAAATTTTGCACAGGTTAATTTAATGTTTTCAATAACTATTATTATCCTCATTTTATAGATGAGAAACTGAGGCACAGAGAGGTTAATAATTTTCCCAAGATCACACAATAAGTAGTAGAGCCATGATGGGAACCCAGCCACATCCCCCCTTGCACTAAAGGGGTCTCTGTACCCGAACGAAACAACCTTCCTGAGAGATGGCTGCCACCAAACAAGGTCTGTTCCTTGAGATCAGCGGAGCTGATCCTATCACCTCATGGCTATGAAAATGAGGCACCCTTTTTTTTTTCTCCTATAATTATACATCCCACCCAAGAATACTGCTCTTTTGATACAAAACATGACCAAGGACATAATCTAAAATTAACTATCACTTGAGTCTAATGCAACTAAGAACTGATATTCTGACTAGTATTTTAAAATCAAATATATAAGGTAAATAGTAATTAACTTTCTTTTTCCTAGCTAACTTTTCTGTGCTCTGTCTCATTTGACAGACAAAAACGAGTGACATATTTCAGGAAAGTCTAAGAAATTTTTACTATGGAGAAATTAGAGTATCTTGCCTGGTACCACAAAAATCCTATGGGAACTAGAGTTAGCTATTTAAAATCAGGCAAACATCTTGGAACAAGAGATAGATATGGTGTCTTGGGTTGAATGATTAAAGCACTGAGTAATGAACACTGACAATCTTAAAAGAAATTAAGAACGAAAACTGTAAATGTATATTAATGGACTCAAATCCTTAGAACAAGAATAGATGAGTATCTCTTCCCACTAACTAAATAAAGTGGGAGACATATGATAATTCTAACAAATATCTCTATGTTTTTTTGGTTACCTCGAGAAACCAGAACCCCTTTTGCTTTCTCCCACAACACATCCATTCAGAATACTATTCTTTGCCAAAAGATAAAATTTTGAAGTCATCTGAGGCCGTCAAGGAATTACAGGGCAAAAATCATGATAGGTTTCCAATTTTCTTCAACATGCAGGGTTATCTGGTTTCAAGGTACAAACACAAAAGTTCCTGTTGCTATGCCTACTGAACACAGTTTCTGGTTTGAAGTTAGTTCTGGGCATTTTGATACATTTACCATCATGTTTCACCAAAACGCAGTATAAGCTAAGAGCCGCAAATAAATCAGAGCCTTTTCATTTTATAGCTCCTTGGGTCAAATCTCAACAACTATGAAGAAAGAGTCCTTTTTTCCTCCCTAAAGGTGACAGAAGCTTAGATAATCTATAGTTTAGTGGAAAACAGAAACAGTACTGACTCTAATTTTCTTGTGTCTTCTCAAATTCCTAGCTTGTGAAATGTTTAAAAACTTCAAATTTCTGTGAGGAATGAAAAAATATTTTGACAGCTTGCTACTAGGGTAAGTTGTGAAATCATTTTTTTCTTGAAAGTACAGCTCTAATGGCAGACACATCTCCTAGTTCTAGAGCAATCTTTCATACAATACTCAGCTTTAAGTTACAGCAAAAAGTAAAATAATGAAGTTTTCAACATGCCTTCATTCTTTGTCATCATTACTCATTTGAGCTGCTGATACTGATTTTTCAAAAAATAATTCCAGCCTATATTCAACATCTAGCTTGTATCTCTTGAGAAAAAAAGACCAGTCACTTAATCATAAGATTTAAAAAGAGGATTTTACTATTAGATTATCACCAACAAAATAACCCTCACGGAGAGCATATACTTTTTGTCTGCTTGTTTGTTTTCTGAGGGAGGGGGCAGAAAAGTCTCCCTGGAGCTTTACATCTACACTCACCTTATTAAGCTTTTAAATCTTAAACAATGAAAACCAGTAATCCCAATTTCTCTAAGCCCGCCAGATAAAAATCTAATTTAGAAGGCTACTTGGGTTTGAAGGATAAATAGTATTAAGTGCCTTTAAAAAAATCAACATAAACAGGACATTTAAGCAAACTGGCACAGTGTGACAAGTTTTAGAACATTAGCTCACAAAATGAGTATACTCTGATTCAGACAAACACAACAAATAGAGCCTTTTATCCAAAAATCACCGAGACAACCCTATGTAATACCTATGTTAAAACGTTCAACAGATCTAAGGATATCACAGGCCTCAAGTTGCCAGAGTCCTGACAGAAAAGTCAGTGATGTGAAACACGCTTTATGAAGCTTGGCGTGCATGCACACACTCTGCAAGGTGAGCGAGACAAGAGACACCGATGACCACCGATATTGTCCTTACTTGCAGACGCACAAGTATCCTGCATGTTCCGATTCTGACTGGCACCTGGAGCGGCTCTACCTGCCAGTCATCCCAATGTATTCAGGGATGTAAACACCTTATAATTAGAAAACGTGAAGGCGTCAAGGACGTTAGACAAATTGAAAACACATCCAAAGATTAATTTTTAAAGGCATTGAAGAAATAATTAATTGCAAAGTCTAAAATCAGAGGATGTACCTGCTCCTTCACGGAAGCTAGAATAGTGGTGGCTGTGGTCTCGGGTTCCATGCCTGGGCCAGTGGGGGCAGCTTCCTGGCGGGTCTGTGGTTGCCCCTCCTCCACCAATGAGGCCTGCTCAGGAGCTGGCATTCCTCCTGCAATCAAGCAGGCAAAGGGTTAACACTTTCTCCTCCGCTCCTGGGCAGGAACAGGCAGGGGCTGAGCGTTTGCAGATGGTTCCTAGGAACTACTACAGATTCTACACACCATGATCACAACACCATACGGCTACCTGATTTCTAAAAGGCAACATCTAGGGCCAAAGTATAGCTAGTACTACCAAATACTAAAAAATAACAACAGAATAAGAATGATAATAATAAACACTGAGAAAATACTTAAACAACATCATAGTAAAAAATGATGTGAAAAGGGTTAGGGAAGAGGACTCAAAAATATATTGAGGACACTAAGGCTGTTAGATGCTATAAAATCGCTGAATTTTCTAAACAGCTAACCATTAAGTAAATATGATTTTCTTATCACGAACAAAATAACAACACTCTAGATTGCTATACGGGTCAGTTTTCAGAGAAGTGTACGCACAGGAAGACACCTACGAACGTGCAAATGCTTTATGATTATAGAAGAGGCTTATTCAACAGAAGAAAAAGGGGTTAAAACTTATGAAAGGCTTGAAAATAAGCAAAATTCTGCTGTATTTAAAAGAAATGCAAGGCATTAATAACCAGCAATAAAGATAACGTTGGTGGAGTATTATAGCTAGCTTGGTTTCCTTAGAGGAATCTGATTATGCAAAGATGACAACGGCTATGGAGCTGGTGTTGAAAGAGAATTTATTTTTCAGGACCATAGCTTGTGACAAATGAAATGGGTTCTTGGCAGGAGATGAGGTGCCTCTCCTAAGATAAACACATACTGAGAGTGGTATGTTTGCCGGGAAACTTATTGATCTGATATGGATTTTGTATAAATTTGCAAAAGATGTGGAAAAGGTGTAACCTAAAATGTTGTAAATATTTTAATAACTTGTTTACCTGTCAGTCTCTCTGCCTGTTTCCTCAAGAGTAGAGTCTACCATACCATGAGACTAGCCTAGTGCCTGGCATATAATAATAGATACTCAATGTTTCCCAAATAATTGAATACATGAATGAAGGACTGACTGTCTCTTCCATGTCTCATTACAGTCATTAGACAAATCTGACCCAGTGCTATGATGCTCATGAGACCTTATTTGTTCAATGCATTACCCTGTGTACTTGTATATGGACATTTGAGACCATAAATGCTGTTTCTGGCATTCCTCTTTTAGCTTTCTCCTAAAAATGACTCTACTGTTGTATTTTGATTTCTTATCAACTTCCACAATGTTCATTTCTGTAGGATGAGCTGGGGATTTTTTCCCCATTCCACCAAATGTCAGTATCAGCTTGCTGTTTACTTCCGAACTCATAATCTATAAGACAGGGGAAGATGACATATCACCTGAGCCTCCATCTCATTCTTTACTCTCCTGACTTCCACATTAGTGAAGATGGGGTTGGGTTCCAGGTTGCCACCAGTGGTTGCTTTATTCCTACAATATTAGAAATAGACAATGGGTCTGATGAGTTTGAGCATTTTCCCCCAATGGGACTCTCAATGAGGAGTTCTTGTGCCAGCTCTAGCAGGTATATTCTTTTTTTTTAAAATTTATTTATTTTTATTTATTTACTTTTGGCTGTGTTGGGTCTTTGTTGCTGCACGCGAGCTTTCTCTAGTTGCGGCAAGCGGGCGATACTCTTCATTGCGGTGCGTGGGCTTCTCATTGCGGTGGCTTCTCTTGTTGCGAGGCACAGGCTCCAGGCGCACGGGCTTCAGTAGTTGTGGCACATGGGCTCAGTAGTTGCGGCTCGTGGGCTCTAGAGCACAGGCTCAGCAGTTGTGGCGCACGGGCTTAGTTGCTCTGCGGCATGTGGGATCTTCCCAGACTAGGGATCAAACCCGTGTCCCCTACATTGCAGGCAGATTCTTAACTACTGTCTAGCAGGTAAATTCTTTATCACCCGTTTCTGTGGGGCCCAAGGCTGGGGGTGCACCCTCATCTGCAAGGAGGAGAGTCTCCTCAAGGACAAGTGAGAGGAGGACCTTCAGACTTGGAGTAAGTGGCTCCAGGATCAAAACCTAAGTGCCTTGAACATGAGCCACCCTTTCCTCACTTACAAAAATGGCTTACTAATTCTTCATACAACACCATGGAATGATTTTTATGGCAATCGTCATTTTTTAGTATGTATGGTGTGTTGAGATACAAAATAGTACACTTAAAATATCATCAACTGGATAAAATAACTGTATTCAACCAGTGCTCATTATGTATAAGATTTAAGGTCTGTGAAGAAAAAAAATGCCCCACAAAGATCTTAGCTTTGCATTTAAGGCTAATAAAGATATGAAAGCACTCTATGCCATTGAAAAACTACACACCTTAAAATAAGCAGGTGGTTGCAAAGAACAAAAATGTTACTATGCAACAGTGAAACAAATAATGCCAAGAAACAAAAATTTAAAATATCAAGAGTATAATACCACGAAATAACCAATGTGTAAGAAAAAGAGAAGCAAAATTTCAGTGAACAAAGAGAATTTGAAAAAGAGAGAAACAGAAACATCATGGGGAAGTAATTATTCTCTACTAAAAATAGGAGGATCCTTACTGTTTAAAGAAAGATACTAAATTATATTTTTGTAATTACATTACATCACTGTGAGTATACCATACTTAATTTCATACTATTTATTTTTTGATGACTGTCCAGATCTATGACAACAGATGAGCATTTTCTGAATACCACTTTGCCCATGTAATATGCAGGGTGATAAGGGAATACAGGCATAAAGCAAGGTCACTGACCATTAGTGGCTTATCATCTAGCTGAGGCAGCAAAATATGAATCAGATCAAGGCAAAGTATAGCAAGATACAAGTGATGGAATAACAATGCTGAAGTTGATAGGGAGAGGTGGTGAAGAGGTTATACATTTGTACAAGAAACTACTATTCAGCAAGAGAGGAGACTTTCATAGGTAGGTATGATGTTTTTATTCTCAGATTCCTCAAAGACTAGGAGACATTGCAGGCAATCACACCTACGGGATACAGAAGGATGACCAGGGTACCCAGGCATAACTGAGGACGCGACACTTCTCTACACCTCATCTCTGGAACAATCCCCAAATACCATTACCAACATGGGACAGAGGAGGGATGCCATAATACTGAGAAGCTATACACCTATTCAAGTATTCTGTTCACTTACTTGTAGTTCTCATGACAGTTTGAGGAGTTGAAGGAATCAAGCTAAGACTAAAGTCACAGAATATTATTACCTCTCTCCATTAGCAAAGAAAAAGAAAGCAATAGGTACTTATATAGCAAAGAGAGGGTGAGAAATTAGGCCTTGTGCTTCCCTCAATGATCTCAACTTGCCCGAGTTGGGCAATTACATTTTAGGGACCTGAGAAAACTTACAAATAAGTTGCTGAACCATTCTGGCTCTTTGGAGAATCACAGAGAATGGAAGAGGTGCCAGAAAACTGGAAGCAGGAAAATGCCATTGCTGTTTTTGGAAAGAAGAAAGTAGACTCTCTTCACGTTACAAACTAGAGAGCTAGACATAGATCGTGGGTGAGATTCTTACAAGGATTTTGTCCAAGAGATGATCTGTGAGAACCAAAAAGGGGCACGCCAAAGAAAAGTCATGTTAAGCTGGTTTAACTTCTCTTTGGCACTGTAACCATGGAAACGCAGTGTGTCTAGACTCTGGTGAGGCATGTATGGTGCTAGAAGTCCCCTATGGTATAATCAGCATAGAAATGGGGCTGGCACAAGGTCAACTGCTGACTCTGACAATCTGTAAACAGCTGAACAACCTATACCAACCTACAGAGGTTTCTAATGTAATGCCAGAGAGCTCTGATCTTGGCCCAGCCCTAACCAAAAACTTTAGCCATAATGTAAATAATAATATACAAGGCATGTTCAAATTCTTCAGTACTGTATTTACCAGGTGATGAAATTCAAATACAAAAACCACTGCTACACTGCAGTGATGAGCTGCCTCTAATGAGAGAAAAACACCAGGGATAAACGTAGGGATTTGCATTTAGTTCAGCTCAGCAGCACACAGGGGAGAAGATTTAGGCACTTCAGACTCAAGAGCAGAATGAGTGAACCATGAGTGAAACAAGGCTGCTGCAAAGCCAAGGTGATGCTATGCTGTATTGATATCAGCATTTAAAGTGATAGGAAGAAGGGGACAAGTTGAGTGTACACCTTTTCTTCAGGTGCCTCGGGACATGTCCAGTTATGGGTGGCACATTAACAGGAACGAACACAAGTGCATCCACTCAAGAGAGGATGAAAGGATGAGGAAAGGACTTCAGGAGCAAGAACAAGGACAATGAGCTCAAAGCTTAGCCGAGAACACAGGAGGCACAGCGGATGAAACAGGAAGAGAAAGTGTGACCTGAAGAAGAGAAGGACCACGCAGACAAGCAAAAGGTCTGTAAACCTCTTCAGGACTGCCAAGTACAAGTAAAGTTAGACTTTTCGGTCCCAAAAGCTAGACCAAAAACTAATGGTGTTGTAACAAACTTGTATTAACCTAAATTACTACTGTCTTTATACTCTGAAGCAAATTTGGCTAATAGTTATATTTTATTATATTTATATATTAATATTACATTATAAGACTAAAGATTGGAGCCATGAGGGCAAGCTCATGAGGTCTTTCCTTTTGGAGTGAAGAGTCAAATGTCCATAATTTCAAAAAGTGATAACCCCAAAGGTGTTACAATTCCCCATCACAAGGGGTCTTTGATCGCAGTTCAGATGATCAAGTAGCAGGGATGGTACAGGAGGCATCCTGCACTGGGTGTGTGTTAGAATCAGGAAACAAAGTTCTCTGAATCTTGAGGCTGACACTAGGATATGACAACATCTACATTCTGAATTGATGTGAATGCTCCTCAGGGGTTTTCAGAATGTCGTCTACCATAACACACCTCTGTGTAAAAAGGCACCTGAAGGCCAGGATGCTGTGTTTTCCTGAGGGAGTGATGGGCACTGGAAATCTTAGTGCTGACTGTTT